TTGCACTTATGTTTTCCAACTTCGACACGCCATGTTTTATATCATGATTTGTATACAGAAAATCTAAAAACATATGTATATGTAACTATGTTCGTATGGTCTTTTAAATGTTGGTACTTTTTCGGCTTATTTAGTACACTTTTTTTGGCCATTTGGTACAAAATTAAAAAACTCATTTATCATCCCTGGTCCAGAATCCAACCCCAGATCAGGCTATAAATTTGAGGATTTTCTCATAAAAAAAGTTAAAAAAATTTATTTCATATTACAGTCAAAGATATATCAGGCACCTGTATGGCTGACGACTCATGTAAGTGCCATATTCAGTGGGGCAGCTTGTTATGGTTTACTATCATGATTGCTTTGAGGTAACCATACAAAATCATGCAATTCATAGCATGCTAAGATTGATTTTCCGAACACTCCCCAAATAAAAACTGTGTGGCAGCTTTTTTTTTGGCAGTTTCAGCTACTGGAAAAGGTAACGGAACTATTCCATTTGCCGCAGTTTCCGTTAAAATAAAAAATGGAGAAGTCAATGGCAAATATATATCGATTTATTTCTTTGGGTCCAATCTGATCAAAATTGGTAGCTTCATTTTCGATTGGTGGTAGAGTCCGACAGATTAACCGGCATCGGCATCGGCTAGTATCGGCATAAAATTGAGCATCGGCATAGGCTATTTTCATATGTTCAGGTGAAGCGACAGCCAACATCAAATTGTCCTGTGGTTAGTGTTACCAGATATTGAGAAACTGGCCTCAAATGTGTGATCTGAAAATGAAGCTCGAAATACAATAACGCAGTGGCAGTTTTTCGAAATCAGCTGATTTTTAGAAAGTGTGGGGTCCAATGAAGCGACTCACAATACAGCAGTGGCAGCTGGCAGTACTGCAAGAATGATAGAATACAGTAGCAGTACTGCTCAGTTTAGCCCAAATTCTAAATTCACTGCCACTGCCTTCATCGCAGCAAACTTCGCATGTTGAATTTGACATAAATGAAATGCAGCCAACTTCTGTTTATGTCACAGAAGCCTAAGAGGCAACAACAAAAATGTAAACAAACAAAAGGGAATGTCAAAACCGTATTGTGTTTGCTGCGGCAGTGACTGCCAATATTAGCAATAACAGCTCAACAAAAACAGTCACTGCCACTGCCACAGCGCTATTGTATTTTGGGCTTGAATTGTGGAAGTTAAACAACAATCTCTAAAAATTCAATAAAATTTCGTGTTAATGGTGAACACATTTTTTGTACTATTGAAACTGATTTGGGACGCCTTTTGGTACTTAAAAATAATCTCGAGTGACAACATTATTCCTAAATTACAAAATGAAGAGTGCACATAATTTTCAGTGTCCAGAATCCAGCCCCAGATCAGGCTTGCAGGATTTTCGCATAAAAAAATTAAAATTGTTATTTCAGATTGCAGTCACCTGTATGGCTGATGATTGACGTAAGTGCCATATTCAGTGGCAGAGCTTGATTGATTTATTTCTTTGAACAACACCGCTTTGGGAAGGAGGGTAATTGTGCATTTTATGGTCCCCACCGAAAATTGATGCAAAATAATCGAAGTGGGTATCAAACGACATACGACAACATTTTCATACAGTTTGCTGAAATTGATTACTTGTTAAAATATTGACTTAAGTCACAAATAGTATGGTACATTTGACATAATCACACCAATCCTATACAATAGATAGTCTTATGTGCTACGGTAAGGTGACCAGAATTTTTACCATTCCAGGAGGACAAATTCTCCGCATTGAAAACACAAACATTTTTTTAATATTTATTTTAACACATAAATAACGAATAAATTAACAATTCAAAGTTTCTCTAAACACAAGTCAAACAAGTTAATAATACACTGCGTTGCATAATTATAAGAGTGCCACATATTAACAAGTTTTGACTATTTATTTTTAACCGACTTCAAAAAGAGGAAAAGGTTATCAATTCGTCGGAATTTTTTTTTTTTGTATGTTACCGCTTGAGGTGGTCCCATACTGACTTGGTTTAGATCCGATCATTGGATCATGAAAAAATTAACGATAGTCCTAAATTTTTATGTGAAAACTAAAGTCGGTTGTGTTTTTTGCTTGAAAATTACTTGTTAAATCTTTTAATGATAATTGAATTACTTGCAAAAGAAATAGCTTTCGCTCTTCATCTTTCGTCAAAGTTCGAGTATAATTTTGTACCAATGCTATACCTCGTTCAGCAATATCATTAACATATTTAATACTTTTAATCGTCGCTAAGACAACCCTTCGCTACAAATTGCTAAAAATTTATAAGTTTCCGTATTAAACTATTTCCGTTCTCAGAAAAAGTGCCAGTTTTGATTTGTGAGCTGGTGTGGATAAATTTCTGATAAAAATTAGAGATGACAGCGAGGTAATTCGCTCTCCAAAGTTAGTATGGCGACTTACGTAATTCGTGCGAATTACGAATGAGAGAGCGAACTACGTAATTGAGGTGCTGTGAGAAAGCCGTATTAAATAAGGCTAAAAGGCGTTTACACTGTTCAACTCTCATAGTTATAGTTATAGGTTAGTTGAATCAAAGGTTTACATAATTTAACTGAAGGTTGGAAAATATAAACGCCTTTTAAATATAATGATTGTGTACGATTAGGCCATAATAATATTCTGAACGAAATTTTTGAAAATGTCATCACTGCTATAAAACTTGAAAAGGAGGCCAAGGAGCACATTTTTGCCCAAAAGGAGGACAGATAATTTCAGCCTTTTGCTTACTTGCTGTGTGTGTGATTGGTAGTATGTCATACAGCTGGCTGGCGTTTAATGTGAAAAGGTAACACACGACCATATGATTTTATAATTGTGGCTGAATCTTTAACATCGATTTCCCAAAATCTGCCGAAAATAACATACGACAATCTTTTACACAGGCGACGACATGAAAATATCTATGTGTTTACTTTTCTCAACTTGTTTGTGGTAATGCCCACGTCTGGCTATGGCCTATTGCCGTCTTCACAACGGTGTCGTAAGTGTCGTATTGTTGTATGTACCATACTTTAAAAGCTTAAATAAATGTTTAGAGAACTTGAAACAACCAGCTATTTTTTAACACTACAAAAATTCATAATATGACTTTGATGGTACTTTGTGAACCCCCTTAATATATTGTTTAGCCGTTTAAAATTTACGACGTACAACAATACGACACCGTTGTGAATACCCCAATTGTGATTTAGGCGCAATAGTCATACGATGATGTGAGAATAGGGGTTATATCGTATATACAGTATATTTTGCTTTGCTGCCTCTATGCTTAAGTGCACATTTAAGATACCTACCCCAAAATGCGCATCAGAGGCATTATTTTTAAAATTTATAAGGAAACTGCTCCGATAGAAGCATTCAACATACCTGCACATTGGCGATACCTGCCTTAAAAATTGTGCGACTATTATCAATTATCAATCAAAGTATTACGTTTACCTGCACTGGCCCTATTTTGCTCATCTCGCAGAACTACGAAAATGGCTATCAATTTATGTAGTTATATAGATAATTAGATACCATTCGGTAAAAATTTCGCTTGCAGTAATTTCTACATGGTAAGTGCTCCGCCAATATTTGGTTTCATAGGGATTCGGATACCTTCCTCATTGTAGTAGTAAAGAAAATTCGCTTAAGTGCCTTTTTCGGTTACGTGCACAAGTTTTTCGTGCAAAGAAGGATGTGCAGCTAAGCAAAATATACTGTAATTAGTAATTCAGGCACTGACCGGACGAGGGGTTAGGCTTAAAAAAATAACTTCCCAACATTTGAAAATGTACACTTAACAGCAAAAATCTGCATACACCATCAGCCCAATTCTGAATATTCCCGAGGATCTCATTTCTCGCGGATTTTACTTTTCTCGAGCATAAAATCCTTCTATTCGAACCTGCCAGGGAGCAGCATTTTCCCCGAAAATTTGGGAGCAGGAAATTCGAACTTTCGAAGAGCTGTTTGACAGTTATTTTGACAGCTCAACTCCCGCCATTTAGTTTGCGTGTTTTACACATAAAAGTGTGTTTCACACAAAAGAGTATTTCAGATTAAAGTTGTAAATAAATTAGTGCGCGGAAATTTCAAATCTGTGTTTTAAATTAAAGCTCAATCTTTTAACTACACGAAACTCGAAATAAGTGGACAAATAGGATAAGAGTACCCTTTGCTAAGTCCAGTTGCCATGTGAATTTTGGAAGCCACATTATTAATAAACTAGTGCTCCGGAAATTTAAATATTAGTGCTAATTTAAAATTTAGTTTTTTAACTACACATGTGAGTTGAAATATGTTGATTTCAATCGCGCGTTTTCATGTAATAAACCAAAATAACCTAGCTTCCATTAATTAAGATTTCTACCTGTTTCTTATTTGTTGTTTTGGACCTAAAATGAAAGGTTTAAACGTTTTATTACACCAAATAGGAGAATAGGGAAAAGGGGAAAAATCCTCAGGGAATTTTTATTCATGATAGGAGGAAATAGAAATGAGGGAAAATTCCTAGGGAGTTTCTATTCAGAATCGGCCTGCATATCTTTTTTAAATATTTACAATATTTTGCAATTTAATATTCCTTAGTATTCTTATAAAAATATAACAAACAAATTTTAGCTTCCAAAACATTGTGAATATTTAAAAAAGGAATGGTGGTCGCAGACTTTCCCTCCTATTATGAATTTTCATACGATAGATGATAAACGCTTGCAAGCGTATCGTATGAAATCAGTTCTCGTATTATCGTTTCCAGCTCTACGTGCACCCTACGAATTCATAATAGGGGATTTTTCCACTATTCATGTATACAAAACTGGAACCTGTTTTCGGACAACTGCCCAGTCCAGTGGTCGTTCGAGTGGTATATTGCTCAGGCCGACTGAGCAGTCAAGTGTGCGAAGGCTCAATGATTTTTTAAGTTTAACCCGAATAAAGAAAACTTGATTTTCGAAAAAAAGTATAGGCTGAATTTCTTTATTCATTCCAGATAACAAATAGAATGAATGGAATAGATTGTAGTTTATCCATGATGGAATGAATAAAGAAACAAAAAAGAATGATACTCACGCTTGTCAGCTTCTTATGTCTGTAAAAAATCAAAAGAAAATCAAAAACATACATATGTACATACAAAATGGCAGAAAACCTTAATATTTCGTTGATTTTTGCTAAAAAAATCGCATTTCATTTACTTTTCGAAAGTAGCGAAAGTGAGGACAGTGATTCCGAAGGCGGTATACGAAGAAAAGTGGAAAAAAATATGGGATATTACGAAAAAGTTATCCCCAAATTTGATGAGCTACAATTTCTAAGACATTTTCGAGTACGTAGAGAAACGTATGAACGTCTATGTCTCTTAATACAAGATGAACACGGCGTTTACGCAAATCATCATTCCGGGCAGCCAATGATTTTGATAGAAAAGCAAATCCTGATAACCTTGTGGTATCTGGCTAATATGGAATGCTTTAGGTTGAAACGAAAGTTAAAAAAATGAACTGTTTTGTAAAACGTTCTTTCCAGGTCAATCGCTGATAGATTTGGTGTATCCCCAAAAGCAAGTTGGTCAGCAGTTACATTTGTATGCAAGTATTTGCTCAAAATTAACCGCGTTCTTGGCATAATTTCCTGGCCGACATCTGAAGAAGCACAAAATACTGCATCGTATTTTGAGGAAAAAACCAGATTTCCAGGTATACATACATATGTATGAACATATATTGCAAAATACAATTTTTATCAGGGACCGTAAATAATGATTATTTTTTTAAATTTTTACTCAAAATCATACTAAGGGTAATCACAATCCGTTGCATATGGTCCTGCCTTTTGAATTTTGGTGCATTTGGAAATTCACAACAATAAAATGCAAAGTGTTGCCATGGTAGCAAGTATAATATTTGAAAATGCAAGACCATATGCACCGGATTATTATTGCTCTTACTGAAATGCTGCGTACATACGAGGTACATCATCATAATCCTTGTCACAAGGACTACCTTTAGCAATAAGTAAAAGTCAAAACACAAAAATAACTACAAAAATACATTTGTTTTAAATAAAAGTTATAATCGTTACGGTCCTTGGTTTTGAAAGCAATATCAGTGCGAAACCATAATAATAATGCACTTTTTACTTGTAGGTGTTATTGGGTGTATTGACGGCAGTCACATTCCCATAGTTAAGCCTAAGCTCTACCCTAATTCATATATCAATCGGAAGAAGTACCATTCAGTATTGCTACAAGCAATATGTAATGAACGAAAGGAGTTTATTGATTGCTACGCTGGCGAAGCTGGATCAATTCACGATGCATGCCTCTTTCGTAGATCTAAAGTGTTTAGGAAAATTTCCGATGGTAAGCGCAATCACCGACATATTTAAAGAGATTTATAGTTATAATTACGGTATATATTTCAAGGTACTATTTCCATACAACAAGACAAGCACTTACTTGGTGACCAAGGGTATGCACTGAAGTCCTACCTATTAATACCATTTAAGGATTGCGGAAACTTAAGTTCCAGCCAAAAAAAATATAACAACGTTCATTCTTCGATAAGGGTGGTGATTGAGAGGGCGTTTGGTTTGCTGAAAGCACGATTTCGCCGATTGCAAAAGCTTAATACCAGACGCCCCGATGTAATCCCATTATTAATAATTTCCTGCTGTATTTTACACAACTTTTGTTTAAAAGAAAATGATTTCCTGAATGAGGAATTACCTTTATCGGAAATGTATCCTATTGTTCAAACATCAAATAATACAGACACAAGCGGAAATGAAAAGAGAAACGCTATTGTACGAATTTTATAAAAAATAATTTGCGAATAAATTGAAGTTTATTTAAATATGCAGTTAATTAGTCTAATCAATTGGGTTTTTTTTTGTACTGAACTGATTACGAGTTTGCATTGAGTTTTTTTTTTTTTTGGTTAAAAACTATAAATGGCACACCTCCGTCTGAAATTATTAAATAACTGTTCTACAGTATTGAATAAAATCACATAAATTAATTATTGTAACAAGATTAAGCTAAGCATAAATAACACATCCGAAAATCGAAAATTAATTTTTTTCAAAGTATCACTGAATTCGTGCGAATACTGGACAGTTCCATCTGCTGTGGTTTAGAAATGATAAAGACTGATTCCTTGTATTTTTAGCATTTGGAATTCAGGGTATGCAATGGACTCCATTCGCATTTATCGCAAAAAAAGCATTCATAACACGTTACGTGTATGACAAGTGTTTTAAACAAATCCAGAAACTGGTCCGTTTTTGCCATCTTTTCCTTATGACGCCTCTGTTTTGCATCATCAGTTTCACCGGTTTTCATCAGTTTTCATCAGTTTTCCGCTTTGTTCTGGTTCTAGGCGTAGCCTCTTCGGTAAACATGTCGCAAAAATCATAGTCGGAAGTGTTGACAACTTCTGTATCATCAGTTGAACACGTAGCCGGAGGATTGATTTCTGGTTTCATCCAGAGAATTTCGTGCATGGCATCGAAATGTTCCCAATCCTTTCTTCCATTACCACTTGTGCTATTGTGGTCTAAAACCTTTTTATACATTGATTTTAGACCTTTCCATTTGCCGTTGCACTGATCACTTGTAATTATTTTTCCGCGAATCCCGGTAATTTCTTGCGCGATAATGTCCCAGGCCTTAATTTTTTGGAAGCTTTCGAATTTGTCTTTATGCTTCGCGTACAAATCAATAAGGCATTTTGTATCTCCTGGCGACCATTTAAAAGGGGTAGCAGCACCTACAACATTTTTTTTTATATGAAATGCAGCCACAAATACATAAATACGTACTTTGCGAAAACCTACTTAGTAATACTTCCACTTCCATTGCAAATTTGTGGCTGAATTTCTTTATTCTTCTTCTACGTATGATCTTGTAGTTATATCTCATAGGCAGAATAAATGGAATTCGTTTAGAATATCCGGTGACATATAATCCAGAACGTTCTAATGAATAAGAAAACGAAAAAGTTTATTCCAAACGTTCAGAATGAATAAAGAAATTCAGCCATAATAATCTTTACAAAACCATCGTCGTGATCACGGTTGCCACACAAAAAAAAATTTGTGGACCAATATTTTTGAGAAAAAGGACCAAAATGATGAAAAGTGGCCCAATTTTCTTTTTTTAGTGGTGTAGTGGTTAGCAGTGCGCGCTACCATTCCGCAGACCCTGGGTTCAAGTTCGGCTCAACACAACATCAAAAAATTAAAAAAACGAAAAAGTTTTTTTTTAATAGCGGTCGCCCCTCCGCAGGCAATCACAAGCCTCTTAGGGCCGTTTGCACCATGTCTAGTTAACGCTAACTGGAGGTACATCCTTCAGTTAAGCACGTTAACTGCTTTATCGATCACATGTTATATGATGGGTGTCGATAACGTCGATAAAGATGTTTAACTGGGAGTTAGAATTAACTAGACATGATGCAAACGGCCCTTAGTGGATATCTGCCATGAAAAACAGCTTCTCATAAAAATACAATTGCCATTCGGAGTCGGCGTAAAACTGTAGGTCCCTCCCCTTTGTGTGACAACATCCAGGCGCACGCCACAAATCGGAGGGAAAGCTTGGCCAAACACTAACATACGTGTAAGGGCCAATCTATTATTATTAATAAATCAAGCCTTTTTTTCAAAAAACTTACCGCCAAATACTGTTTTAAAAACGACCAATATACATTTTTCTTTTATAACAATAACAATTCATTTCATAAAATCAAACATAGAACATAAAATTTTCATACAAAAAAATATGAATTAATGAAAACATAACAAAAGTTTTAAACAAAATCAGTAAATTAAAACTAGATTTCAAGATTGATATAAAAATGGAATGGAAGTAATTTTCTATATATTACTACCTGTGCATAGTAAGTTTTTTTTTTATATTATAATAAAAAGAACAAATATGAAGGCTCGTTTTCTTAAGAAGCTTTTATGTTTCATCTTCTGATTGATTTTCTGAGACGAAAATTTGTGTTTGCAGATACATTTTAAAAGTTAGTTAACAAACGGCCATAAGCGTGTCAATTATTAAAATACAAAATTTTGTGGTGAAAAAAACTTTATACTTATGCATTTGTATGTAACGTTGATGAGTGAAATCACGAGAAATTTGAGTCACACTAACCATGAAAAATATAATTTTAAATCGTTTGCTGACCAAATGTAATGGGAATCTGCGTTTTTTAAACAAAGCTCTTTTGATAACATAATGTGATTTATTATGTTGAACTCCAGTTTATTTCGGAGTTTAGTCTTTAATAATGAAAGTTCGAAAAATTTGCGTTCCGCAGACGCCGAACTATGTGGAAGGCACAGCAAATTAAATATAAAATCTGTCAATTCTTTAAAGCAAGCCTCTTCCATTCCATTTTTATGCAAACTTACTTTTTCCCAAAAAAAACAAACGTCCATATCACTTTTGAGATCAGTGTTTGTAAGCCTTAAAAGCCATTATGTAATTATCACATCGATATCACATTGAATTAAATGTTCAAAATTTTTTATCAGAGGCATTATAGATAGTTGTGTTTCAGATAATACTTTGTTAGGAGTGATAATACATACATTTTTCAGTTCTTCTCTACCAAAATGGAATCTTTTTTGTAGCTTATTTAAAAACTCAATATAAATATTTAAAATATTTGTCTTAATCGTTATTTTTTGCGATTCGGAAAATTTATCGCTTGTTAGAAATTGTTCCGCTTTATTTCCGATGAAAATCTCGTTTATTGGTAGAAGATTTGTTTCATTGTAAATGTTAAAGTTTTTCAGACACGTAGTATTTTTGACAAAATTATTCTGCATGAAATTGCCCAAAATTAATTTAAAATTTATTTCCAGTTGTGAATACAAAAATGGCAGCAGAGCCTTTTCGGATTGGAATTCTTTGTTTAAATTGTTAATTATTTTTAATATGTAGGCCAAAAACAGCATGTATACTTTTAATTCGACATCTGCCATTGAGTGAGCTGATTCGCGTGCACGTATGCCATTAACTTCGAGACATGAAGATAGGAAGTAAAGCTGGAGCGCTTCCCATTGCTCATTAATCCTTGTTATTACGCTTTCTAACGCAAGTCATCGAGTGAAAGATATCCAGAGTATTTTGTGCGGTTTTACGTTACAGTATTCCTGAAACTCTTTAAATTCACCAATTCGTTTCGGACTATGGGAAAAGAAGTTAGATATGTTTCGACATAGCTTTTCGATGTCAAGAGGAAGCTTTTTACAAGCATAGCTAGAGCATAAGTAAAGGGAATGACACGTACATTTTATAAAAAATAGATTGGTGTTATCTTTTAATCTAGATTTCAACACATTGAGCTCTCCTGCCATTGTATTGGCTCCGTCTGTTGCTGATCCAATTAAATTACTAAGGGGTACCCCATGCTCTTGGAAATACAATATTAGG